AAAAAAAATCATACAAAATGCATTCCAAAATTTTTTGTAAATTTCATATTAAAATATTTAAAATTTCCAGCTTCAGCAATTTCTAGCTTCAGCCACGACAATTCTTGTTTTATACAAAGGGTGCTTATGTGGTTACGATATTTGTTTAGCTCATTTTCCCTAATATCGTATGATACTAAAATGGTATCTATGTAAAGCTAAATGCTAAAAGCTATTCTGCAATGTTGCTGAACCTTTGCTATCTATTATATTTGCGTATTGCGATAGCGCTACTATCAGTTGTTAAGAGAGATTGTTCTTCTTCATTGTTCCTTAAATATGATTTTAGATTCTTATATATAAATTCATTAAAGTTCATGTAGAAGTCCAAAGCGATTGCTTTCCAAAGCCATACTGGTAAGCTTGGCTTGTGGGGTGTTGTTTCAATTATTTTTTGGCTATCAAGCCAATTTAAGATCTACCACAAATGAATACTTTCTACATAAGCTGCTAGGGTGTTGCCAAAGCTATGAACCGGTAGTAAATTCACTATGTATTCAAAAAAGGTATACTTTCTTGATATGCACTTGATTTTTATTGCTTTACTACTGTGGGATATTGCCTGGGTTATTGTTTCTTTTTCATTCTGCTAGCTGGAGTTATTGGTATCGATTAAGAGATTATTTAGCAGAGGAGTTGTGGAGGACCCCAAACAATCTACAAACAGCTAAAAATTTGTAAAAATTACTAAAACTAGAAAGATCTGCAAAAAAAAGCCTGAAATAAGCAAACTAATTACTATAAATAGAAAAGATTAACAAAAAAATAGTCTGAAATAAGCAAACTAAAATCTTATCTGTTTATAGATTGTTCGGGGTCCTGGTTGTGAATAATTACCTTGTTATCTAAAATTACTATCACAGGTCTTATCATTATATTAGGGGCTAGTTATATTAAATGTATGATTATGTGCTATGATATTGTCTTGTAAATTCTGGTTGGTATGAGCTGGTTGTGAGTTTTGTTTCTGCTAATTAAGGGATGATTCAATATGTTCGTTAAGTTTATTAATCAAATCCATATGAGCAGACATTATTTGGTTGATATATTTCTTAATAGTACTAATGATGGCGTTTGACGATACTTGGTATACAGCATCGATGTATGCTTTTGTGTTTGTTTCAATGTTAATTGAGTTAGGGATTGGGTTTGTATTCTTGGAGACAGAAATGTCTTGGGTGACCGAAAGTTCTTGGGATATTGAAGTAGTGGGCCTATCCATTATTGCAGAAAATTTTTGCAGAAAAAATTCTTTATATTAAACTTTTCTGGGTTAGAGTAAGATAAAGGAGGCATATTTATAGTTTGATTTGAGTAGTATGTGCTAATTATTGTGGTCTGAACTGTGGCTTAGAACTGATAGGTAGTATAATCATGTAACCTGTTTTGTTAAAATGTATATTCGTATGTACGTATGTATATATGTGTGTATACATATATATGTACGGTTGGGTGGCTTGGTACTTGGTTTAGTTTTTTGAATTGTTAACTTTTTGTCAATATATAACTTTTTTTATCTTGTGATTAAAGTTTTTTTTGTCTTTTCTTTTGTCTTTATAGAAGTTTTATTTTGAGTTTATAATCTTTGCTTCTTTAAAGATTAGTATAAGCCAGTTT